AAAAAAAAAGAGAGTAAAAAAAAAAAAAGAATTCCCAGTACAAACCTTCACACCAAATCTTGACACAGCAAAAGAACACAAAAATGCAGACACTGTCCAGCCTAGAAAAGATATGGCTGAAGTATTAAGAATTTGGCCTGTTGCCAGGCATGGTGGCGCACACCTGTAATCCCAGCACTGGGAGGCTAAAGCAGGAGGATCATTGCAAGTTTGAGGCCAGAATGTGCCACACAGTTCAAGACCAGCCTGGGAGGCTGGGGAGATGGCTCAGTGGAATAAGCGCTTGCCTGGCAAGCACGTCAGCCTGAGTTCAATTCCCAGTTCCACAAAAAAAAAAAAAAAAAACCAGCCTGAACTACATAATGAGACCCTGTCTCAAAAGAATAAAACTGGGGTCGGGGAGATAGCTCAGTAGAATAAGCACTTGTCTGGCAAGCACAAGGGCCTGAGTTCAAGCCCTGGTTCTGGGAAAAAAAAAAAGAAATATTGGTTATTCATTATTGTACGTATGTCTTAACAAGCATACCTCAGATGCTCCCAGTATTTGAGTTTCACTGTGAGGGAAATACTGTTTATTGGAAGGGAAGGGAAAGGAAGCGCTTATCCTACTGAGCCATCTCCCCGGCCCCTATTTCTTTAAATATATTTCATGCTTAGCCCAGTGCCCCACAGCACAAGGAAGTGCTTGAATGCTCAGTTTCGTTCCAACAGTGCGCAGTCATTCCCCAGCTCTCGGTGAGTACCCAGACTCCCTCAGTGGGCGCGCAGCCACAGCAAGACGATGCAGGTTGTGGAAGTAAGCGCTTGCACCGTTGTGACTATCTCCATGTGTGACAGTACCCCTTCAGAAGTGTTTTTTTTTTTTTTTTTTTCTGGAATGCCTTCAAGGCATGACTGGCTGTCTTGTGTTGTGGGGATCGAACCAAAGCAACCGGAGCCTGACTGCTTTGTTGAAGCAGCCACTTAAAGAACTGAGCTACGGGGCAGGCCCCCGACAGCACCCCTTCAATGAAAGGAACTGCAACCCGACAACAGTCTACAAAAACTGTAAAACTCAAGGCCTAAATAAGAAATCCTGATCAAAGTTATCTTTTTTAAAAATTGATGGAGATAGCTCAGTAGAACAAGCACTTGCCTGACAAGCACAAGGGTCTGAGTTCAATAACCAGTGCCAAAAAAAAAAAAAAAAAAAAAAAATTTCCTAAAAGTAATCCAAACAAGTTTTTCTCAACTTATAAAAAAATTTGGGCTGGTGAGATGGCTCAGTGGTCTAAAGCACCTACTTAGAACAAGCTAAGCAAAAGCACAGGGACCGCGGTTCAATCCCCAGCACCACATGCCAGCCAGCCCCGTCCCCTGGTGAGCTGAACTGGCCACACACACACAAAATAAATAAATAAATATTTTTAAAAAATTCGAAGTGCCTGGGAGATAGCTCAGCAGCATAAGTGCCTGCCTGACAAGTGCAAGGTCCCAAGTTCGATTGGGAAAAAAAAATCCAAAATACTTGAGGCCACATTATTACCACATAATAAGCTGGTATCAAAACCACAGATACAGGGGCCGGGTAGAATAAGCGCTTCCCTGGCAAGCACAAGGGCCCGAGTTCAATCCCCAGTTCCAAAAAAAAAAAAAAAAAAGCTCAAGGGCTAATTGTAGGGACTTGTGTGTAGAGAAACTCCATTAGATTCCCCTCACTCTAAATGACCTCATAGGGCCTGTTCCAGAAATAAATGGGCAGTCTATGTACCAGAAATTTATTAATGCCCCTCACCCTCCAGATTGAGCCTATAAACCCAGCACTCTGGAAGGCAAGAGCCAGGAGGATTGGAAATGTAAAACAAACCAGATTAACACGTAATTTCAGAAATCTAATAGAGTTATCCAATAAAACACAAATTTTGTAATTTACTAAATACATGGTATAAAGTTTGAATTTACAGGTACCAATTTTTCTGAGCCTAGGGATGATCTTGAGAAATGCTAAAAGGGCCTCGAGCAGGAGAATTGCAATGGGAAGCCGCACCTGAGTGTAACTGAGCAGACTAGACACCTCCCTCTTGGACAGCCGGGAGCTTGATCTGCGGCCTGCATAGGAGAAGCATCAGAATCAGTTAGGGTTGCCAGAATCGGAGTTTGGAAGAGGAGGGCAGTACCTGGAGAATAACAGTAGCCCTGGTCAAGAGAAATCTTTGCAGGGCTGTGGCCTGGGGTCTCTCCAAATGTCTGTCCTGCCCCAGGGTTAGTAAGTCTCAGAGCCTCTATGCTCTGCATGTATTCATTGCACAACAAGACACAAGGCCAGGGGCACAACAGGATATAAACATTCCTGCAGGTACTAAGGAGTGGAGCCATGTTTGTACAATCCCATGGCTACAAACTACAGACATAATCCCGGTCTGCCCTCTGGGCCCACTTTGCATGCTCAGGTATGGTGACTGGCAACTGCATCAAACAGGAAACAGGGCAGAAATGCACCACCTCCCCCCACTCAGAAAGTTCTACTGAGAACACACATCTCAACAGAAACTACAGGAAGGGGAATTGCAGTGGGAATTCCTGCTCAGTGGAGTAAGTGCTTCCCTGGCAAGCATAAGGGCCTGAGTTCAATCCCCAGTTCTTTTTTTTTTTTTTTTTTTTTGCGGAACCGGGGATTGAACTCAGATCCTTGAGTTTGCCAGTCAAGCACTTATCCTACTGAGCCATCTCCCCGGCCCCAATCCCCAGTTCTGAAAAAAATGATCTTTCCAAAATTTAAAAAAACCACTTCTGAAACTACAGGAAGAGACACTCCAGAAGGGTCCAAGCACCAGGTTCTAGCTTAGGAACCACTAGGGAAGGCTGTGTGAGGAACTTAGCCCCAGACCACTGTGCCTGACCCTACCCGTGACATATATACCATAGTGCCAGCTCAGAGGGGAAGAATTCACACTGCAAAAGGACCAAAGTTCCCATCCTGTGCCAGAAGCATCTCTGGGGAGCTGGCTCAGGGCGAGGAACTATACACAGCCCTCATTACCGCTCTCTTCAGAGTCTTTAACAGAGTTGAGAGCACGGAGCAGGTGGGCAGAGACATAAAGGGCTCTGGCTCTGCCAACACCTTCACAGGTACCATCTTTTGCCTTCTGGGGCTGGGTGGAAGGTATCAAGTGTACTTCTCCCCAAAAGCAGAGCCTGCAGGAGATCTGCAGTGACCACCCACTGTGTCAACCCTGATCCCACCCAACTCCCAATGGCCCAGCCACCTCTGATTTCCGGGGTGCGGATGGCCTCCAGGATTGGGGGTGAAGGGGTGTCCTTGGAGTCGGAGGACTGGTCGCTGCAGGCCCCATTGATGATAATTGAATCATCCCTCCCGCTGGTGCCCTCCTCTTCATTGAAGTGTCTGGTGTCTCCCTTCATTGTTTCCTGTGGGAGAAGGCCAGAATGGTAGGGGAGCAGGTAGTTAGGGTTTCCAGGATGCTACACACCCCCAAACTTCCTATCATTTCTCTATGTCCTCAGGAACAGAGGCCCATGACCTCATCTCAGGGGAGCCTACCCAGACTGCCCCCCATAACCTGCCCCCTCACCAAACACGGAGGCTCGGGAATTGGTTCCATGTGGCCAGGAGGCCCCAAAGGCTCAGACACCCAGCACCCAGGACAGAGGAAGCCAGGGGCTGGCGGCTCAGGCTGCTTTGCGCAATTAGCCAGCACCCTCAAACAATGCCATTTAGGACCTGCTTGCCCTGGCCAGCCAGCAGCCAGGTTTAGGTCCTTCTGTCCCTGGCCCTCTTGCCCTACCCAGCTTCTGCAGGGCCTCAGGAAGCCAGTGCATTATTTTCCCTCCTGACCCCTTTGTTTGCTCTCTCCCTTCTCTTCAATCTCTAGGTCCTCTTCCCCCGCCCCCTCCTCCCCTACAGAACAGCTTCTCTCCTCTCCATGGCAGCACAAACCCCGCCTTACCCCATCCTCAGGGGCCCATTGGTCTACTGGCCCATCACTCACTCACCTCCTCCCTCACCAGCTGGGGCTCCTAGTCCCAAATTCCCAAGAAATGTAGGAGAGGCACAAGGGGGAAGGGGTAATTATAAGCAGGGGTAAGCAAGCCCATGGTCTGCTGCAGCCTCAGCCTCCCTCCCAGCTTGGCGTCCCCATCACTGTCTCTTCTGATACCTGCAATATCACTAGATAAACCATTCAGAGTACAGGGCCACTCAAGGTATGGGGCCAATCTGCACAGAGGGGTTGGTGTAGGACCTCAGGCCTAGCCCACCTTCTGAAACACTGTGGACATTCATTAGACATCGGAGGCCGAGAAGGATGGCTCAGTGGGTTAAGTGCCTGCCTGGCAAGTGCAAGGTCGAGTTCCATCCCCAATATAAAAAAATAAGGGCCGGCAAGATGGCTCAGTAGGATAAGCGTTTGACTGGCAAACGCAAGGATCTGAGTTCAATCCCCAGTTCCACAAAAAAAAAAAAAAAAAAAAACATCCTGGATATAAGAAGCTATGCCTTGCCAAAGGTGCTTGTAGGCCCATTTTATACAAAAGAGTGCTAATGGATCAGATTAGCTTCCAAGATTAATATACTCAAACTGGGTATTTTGTATGTGCATGTGTGTATGTGTGCATTTTAGGTAAAGGTCTACAGGGTGTTCAGGGTCTCTCTACTAGATGGGACTTGTAGTGATCCACCTGTTTACAGCCTCCCAAGAGCTGGGATTATAGGTGCTTGTGCCACCATGCCCAGCCCAGTCTCAATTGTCTCAGCGCACCCTGGGGGCAGGGATGGCCTGCAAGGCAGGATCAGGGATCAAATGCCTAGCCCCTGCCCCTGCCCCTGCCCCTGCACATAAGCCTGCTTGCAGATGCTTTAATCTGCTGAGCTATTTGCCAGCCCTCAAACTGGGTATTTTAGCACAAAGCTTACTTCTAACACTATGGAAAGATGAGATAAAGGGGCAGGGGAGATGGCTCAGTAGAATAAGTGCTTGCCTGGCAAGTGCAAGGGCCTGAGTTCAATCCCGAGTTCTACCAAAAAAAAGAAAGAAAAAGATCACAGGTTTCAGCCCAGCCTAGGTAACTTAGCTTGCTCACTAAAAAATAATGAAAACAGGGGCCAGGGTGATGGCTCAGTGGAATATGCACTTCCCTGGCAAGCACAAGGGCCTGAGTTCAATTCCCAGTTGCGCAAAAAAAAAAAAAAATAATAATAATAATAATAATAATAACAACAATGAAGACATAGCTCAATGTGAAGGCCCTGATTCCATCCTCAATAATGAACAACAACAACAAAAAAAAATTAAGTCACATCCAGCATGGGATATGGCTGTAATCCCAGGAGGATCACCCTGGCTTTGAGGCCAGTCAGGCTACATAATAATGACAAGGCCAGCCTGAGCTATACAGTTAGACACCATCTAAAAATAAACAAACAGGGGCTGGTGAGATGGCTCAGTGGTCTAAAGCACCTACTTAGAACAAGCTTAGCAAAGCACATGGACTGCGGTTCAATCCCCCAGCACCACATGCCAGCCAGCCCCGCCCCC